ACAAATGTTGTGGCTCACCTGATCACCAGAAATGTTTTGCCCACTGAAAAAAATGAGCCAGATGCATTTTTGAATGCATATTTTGGCACCTTCTGAAATTTTAAAATTATTTGGGAATTGGGAATGGCATGTCAGACTGGTGGGACTGGTACTCTAAGACAACATAAATAATTATATTTCTTGGTTAAGAAATATAAGCACATGGTAAGCCATGTGCTTACCATGGTGGAAGCAACCACCAGATGGCTGGAAACATACACTGTGCCCCACACCACTGCCGGGAACACTAACCTGGGACTTGAGAAATAAATGTGGTGACACGGCACCCCAGAGAGAATTTAGTCAGACAATGGGATTCATTTCTGGAACAAACTTATAGACACTTGGGCCAAAGAGCACGGCACTGAGTGGGTATATCACATCCCCTGTCATGCACCAGCCTCCGGGAAAAGCAAACGGCACAATGAGGCCAGTTCCTCTTCTTCTATGGATTGCTACTTGGGAGAAGAGACTGACATCCACCTCACTACAACTTCCTTTCAGATAGTTGTAGAGAGTGTTAAGGTCTTGCCTCAGCCTCCTTTTTTCTGGATGAAACAATCCAGTTCTGTCAGCTGCTCCTCATAACACTTGTGCTCTAGACCTGCTATGTTGCTCTTCTTTGGACACTGTGTTGGGTGAGCAATTGGATGAAGGGTCATGCTCACAGACATAGTAAACAGGGTTACATCAGGCTGGCTGCCAGTCACCAGTGGGGTTCCCCAGGGCTCAATGTTAGGGCCAGTGCTCTTCAATGTTTTTATAAATGATATGGAGACAGGAATCAAATTTACATTATGTAAGTTTGCCAATGATACTAAACTAGGAGGAGCTGTGGACTCCCTTGAGGGTAGGGAAGCCTTACAGAGAGGTCTGGATAGAATAAAGATCTGGGCAATCACCAACTGTGTGAAATTTAACAAGAGCAAGTGACAAATTCTGCACCTGGGATGGAGTAATCCTGGTTATATGTACAAATTGGTGGATGAGAGGCTGGAGAGCAGGCCCGTGGAAAGAGATTTGGGGTTTTGGGTTGATGGCAAGTTTAATATGAGTCAACAGTATGCCCTAGCAGCCAAAAGGGTCAACTCCTAGACAACTCCAACGCTTCTAGGGTGCATCACATACGCTATAGCTAGCCAGTCAAGGGAGGCTCTATGCTGCACTGGTGCAGCCCCACCTCAAGTACTGTGTCCAGTTTTGGGTGCCTCAGTATAAGAAGGGCATCAAACTATTAGAGTGTGTCCAGATGGCAATCAAGATGGTGAAAGACCTCAAGGGCAAAACTTATGAGGAGTGGCTGAGGTCACTTGATTTGTTCAGCTTGGAGAAGAGAAAGCTGAGGGGTGACCTCATTGTAGTCTATAACTTACTCAAGGGGACAGTGGAGGGGGAAGTGCTTATCTTCTCTCTGTGGTGACCAGCAATAGGACATGAGGAAATGGAGTGAAACTGTATTGGGGAAGTTCAGATTGGACATTAGGAAGAGGTTCTTCACTGAGAGGGTGGGTGGTCACCAGAACAGGCTCCCTAGGGAAGTAGTCACAGAACCAAGTCTGTCAGAGTTCAAGGAGCATTCTGATTCTCCTCCCCATCCCACCAGGGGGAGGGGGCAGTGAGTGAGCAGCTGCAGGGTGCTTAGCTGCTGTTTGAACTTAAACCACAACATCTTTGTAGATACAATAGAAGTCTTGATCAGTTTTGGGGGTGTTGATGTGAGTCTTGACAATTTAGTAGCCAGTTGTACAGTTTCTAGGGAGTATGTACAAAGTGAAATTTTCTGAAGTCAGTAGCTTGACTGAATTTGAAATTACCACATTTTCAGAGGGAAAGTCAGAGAAATATTTGATAGAGGATGGATCTCCTCCACTTACATCTGAAAAGTTCCTACTCTGAAGAATAAATATTTTAGCAATAACAGCCATTCATTTATAGGAGGACAAACACGTAAAAACTAATGACAAATGACATTTTAGGAAAACACCATTTATCATAGTCCATAATGGATTTTCTATTCATGTTCATTTTTACTACCTTTAGGTAGTAGAATTCAATTATTCAAAGCTTATTTTTTTCAGTACTTACTGTTATTTTCCATGCCTTCATACAATTTTTATCAATTTATAATACTCACTGTGTGTAAAACTTAAATGTGAAAGAGGCTTAAAAACAGTATTTAGCCAGCTTCTGTAAGCTATCCAAATGGATTTACAAAAGGAAGATATTTTAAGGTAGGAAAAATTTTAATAAATTTAGTTAAATATTAATAAATTAAACATTTAGGCTGTGGAAGTTTATCATCACACTGATATTTTCATCAACCTTGAAGAACTAAAACATTGCAGCAGAAAATCCTCATTTAAAGTAGGAAAGTAATTTATTTTGCCTTTATATTTCCTTTATTAAAACATTTAGTTGTAGATAGTGTTGTATAGAAAAGTTCCCTAGTGCTGCAGTCTTCCTCCCTTTATAGATTGCTGAGTATAACAGAGATTTCCAGAGAGTCTAATACATTATCTGGAAACTCACAGATCCATCCAATAATAACTAGCTTATTATAATTTTTCAAACCCCTGTCCTATACACTGCGTTCACTGCATCTTTCAAAAATAAACTATAATTCCTATACACACCAAACTGTTTAAATTGCTACTAACAAAATATACATCAGGCTTTCTTCTTGCATGCCATTACCTTACCTGAAGTAGAAACATGGGATAATAACATTGCTAAATAAGCCAAATCTAAAATATGACATAATTTAAATTATTCTTGATTTAAATGCCCAATCTTCTTTTTCTGAAGTTTTATGGTTTGCTAATAGAAGGCTAAAAATCTTTAATCTTATTTATGTGGTGAAAGTGAGTGTCGTGATTTAAGCCCAGCTGGCAACTCAGAACCGCTCACTCACTCCCCCCTGTTCTTCCTCCCCCTGCTCCCGGGGGGTGGGGGGGGAATCAAAGGAATGTAACTCCCACAGGTTGAGATAAGAAGAGTCCAGTAACTAAGGTATAACACAGAACAACTACTGCTACCACCAATAACAATAATGATAAGGGGAAATAACAAGGGAAGAGAATACAATTGCTCACCAACCACCAACCAATACACAGACCAACCTGAGCAGCGATCTGGGACTTCTGGGTAACTTCTTCCAGTTTATATACTGGGCATGACGTGCTGTGGTAAGGAATACCCCTTTAGCTAGTTTGAGTCATGCATCCTGTCTCTGCTTCCTCCCTGCTTCCCATGCCCCTCCTCCCTGGCAGAGCATGAGACTGAAAAGTCCTTGACTGGGGTAGACATTACTTAACAACAACTAAAAACATCAGTGTTATCAGCGTTGTTCTCAGGCTAAAGTAAAAAACACAGCACTGCAGCAGCTGCTAAGAAGGAGAAAAATGGCTGCTACTGCTGAACCCAGGACAGTGAGATTTAAATTAATAAGATCTGTAAGTCATTCTTGCAAAAATATCCTTCTCCAAAGTTGCAATTAATAAAATAAGGATAAGTCCCCCCCCCAAATAAAATCAAGTAAAAAAAACCAAAAACAAACCACAAAAAAACAGATTTGTAAAGCATGATTTTCACTCATTTTTACAATAGGCAATCAAAAGAAAACAGATGAAGAGGAAAAAAAAAAGAAAATACAAAGGGAAAGTTTTTCTTTCATAGGTACTGCATGCACTCAAAAATATCTTAAAGTAAGGTGGATATTAACATCAACTGTTCTGTGACCACTTCCCTAGGGAGGGTGGGTAATGGGTGAGTAATGGGTTTGCATGGGAACTGGTATATTATTTTTTTTCCATGAGAAACACTAAATTTACTTCAGGATCCCCTTTAATATTCTCTCTAGTATGGGTTTACTGATCAGTATCAATCACCAGGAAGACGGCCAATGTAGGTTTAACAAGAAATACAATACTGATTTTCCTCAGTGGCTCAATCTGACGTGTACCTAAAATAAAGACAGCTCGATGCATATGAAATATAAGAACAGATGCTCCTGCTATGGCAATGACATTTTTCTAGAACAAGGAACAATTTTTGAAAGGATAGTCCAGCAAAGCTGTGTAATACTGTTATCTCCAATACCAGCTTCTGATACAAAAAGACACTTCCATGCTTTTCCTGAGAAGCCAAAATTGGCCTCAGCACCATTAAAATTATAGCACAGAAACAAAGGCTTCTCAGACTCCACAGAAGTAACTCATATTACTCTGAGATAGTCAATACAAACACTTTCCAAAGTTGGTATTACAAGATATATTAGTATGAATCAGCCAATACCACGTAGAAGAAACTTACACTTGAAAAGCTTATTAAAATATCACAAAATATTTATAGTTTGCAGTTTTGACATTTTTTTTTGACCTTCATCCCTTACCTTTTCTATCTCTGAGATGTTACCCAAAAGTTTATCAAGGTTCACCACACTGATTTTCTCCATAGTTTCTTCATGGCTGCGATTAATTTTTCTGGAACACTTAATCCAGTGATCACTGTATATATAAAAATTGAATTTATATATTTCTCATTCGTATTATATCAAAAGTTTCCATATGCACAAATGTAAACAGAACACAGACTACTGCGTGCTGTGTTGTTTTTTGTTGCTTTTTCTTTTAATTAAATAAATTTTTGTATGTGAAGCTAAACTTCAACCAACGTAAGATCTTACATTTCTAGGAAATGCAGTGAAATCCCAAGCCAAATCTATCAAACTGTTAGACGATCTGATGGAGGATAGGAAGGCTCTGCAGAGGGATCTGGACAGGCTGGATCAATGGGCTGTGGCCAATGGCATGAGGTTCAACAAGGCTAAGTGCTGGATCCTGCACTTGTGCCACAAGAACACCATGCAATGCTACAGGCTTGGGGAAGAGTGGTTGGAAAGATGCTTGGCAGAAAAAGACCTGGGGGTGCTGACTGACAGATGGTTGAACATGAGGCTGCAGCGTGCCCAGGCAGTCATGAGTGGCAGGGTGTGTGGGATAGTATGGGCAAGTATCTAGTCCAGTGGGCCCCTCCAGTGCTTTGGAATTTCACCACTAAACAAGTGCAAAATCCAGAAAAATTAGTAAAACACTTAAATGATGTATGTTGTCGTCCTGGTCATACCAGCGAGGGACAAATCATGGCAACGTGATGGGGCTTGGCCTATGCTTACAGAGCCCTCTTCAACACTATCCAGCACCTTCAAAAGGAAAAAAATGTCCCTGGATCTGATGGCAAAGCAACAGAGCGCAGCTACTCCAGCTCCAGGCACATCAGCTACACCAACCCTAGTGACAAGTACAGTACCTACTAAAACTTTGATCGCAACAGACAGCGCAGCTATTCCAACTCCAAGTACAGCAGCTACACCAGCCCCAGTGACAAGTACAGCAGCTACTCAAACTCTGACCGCAACAGAGAGCGCAGCTATTCCAACTCCAAGTACAGCAGCTACACCAGCCCCAGTGACAAGTACAGCAGCTACTCAAACTCTGACCGCAACAGACAGCGCAGCTATTCCAACTACAAGTACAGCAGCTACACCAGCCCCAGTGACAAGTACAGTACCTACTAAAACTTTGATCTCAACAGACAGCGCAGCTATTCCAACTCCAAGTACAGCAGCTACACCAGCCCCAGTGACAAGTACAGCAGCTACTCAAACTCTGACCGCAACAGAGAGCGCAGCTATTCCAACTCCAAGTACAGCAGCTACACCAGCCCCAGTGACAAGTACAGCAGCTACTCAAACTTTGATCGCAACAGACAGCGCAGCTATTCCAACTCCAAGTACAGCAGCTACACCAGCCCCAGTGACAAGTACAGCAGCTACTCAAACTCTGACCGCAACAGACAGCGCAGCTATTCCAACTCCAAGTACAGAAGCTACACCAAAGGACCAATTCATGCCAATATCGGTTTCCCATGTACGCACAGGGAAAAGCAAAGAAGAGGCAAGAAAGATTAAGCAAGATGAAGAAACAATGTACTCACCACCCGGGACAGCATCTGACCAGGAGTTATTAGAATGTGAATCAAAGGAAGAAGAGGAAGAAGAGGTGATGTCTAGACCCTGGACCTCAAGCGAGCTACGGAATATGTGAAAAGATTTTACTTGTCAACCAGGGGAGCACATCATCACCTGGTTGCTCCGATGCTGGGACAATGGGTCCGACGGTCACGCACTTGAAGGTAGGGAATCCAAGCAGCTGGGATCACTTGCTAGGGAAGGGGGAACTGACAAAGTAATTGCAAGAGAGAAACAGTCCCTCAGCCTTTGGAAGCGGCTCTTGGCAGCAGTGAAATAAAGGTTTCCATACAAGGACGATGTTATGAGTTGTTCTCCCAAGTGGACTACTGTAGAGAAAGGCATCCAGTCTCTGAGGGAATCAGCCGTTGTAGAGATGGTCTATCACATCAAGCCAAATAACGGGGATGTACCCATAGATCCAGATGAAGTAGAATGTACACGACCCATGTGATGGAAATTTACACGGAATGCACCATCATCATATGCCCATTCATTGGCAATAGTAACCTGGAATGACATCGTACCACTAAAAGTGGATGAACTGATTGGTCAACTCCGCGAATTCGAAGACAATCTCACCCCTTCCATCATTTCAGCTGTGGAAAAACTGTCCCAGGAGTTCAAACAATTGAGAGATGATCTCTCTGATCTATACAGCTCCCCACGTGTACCAACCCACGTCTCAGCTATTAACAAAAGGCGTCCTACTGCTCGAGAGAGAAGATAAAGGAGGTACATGCAACGAGACACCCTATGGTTTTACCTGCGGGATCACAGAGAAAACATGATGAAATGGGATGGAAAACCTACCTCAGCTCTGGAGGAACAGGTGCGTGAACTGAAGAAGAGAACAAAGGTCAAGGATGATCTTCCCATGAAAGCTGCAGCTTCAGTCTCTGGTGAGCAGGTTCCCAGATGGAGCGGAAGAGCTGATTTTACTCCAGCTCCTGTGATAAAGAAGACTAATCCCTGTCTACCAGATGTAAGTAACCAACGCTGTGATCACTATTAGAGGGGACCTGCCTCCAGCCAGGTGGGGGTGAGGGACAGTTGGGTTTAGTGGACTGTGTGGATCAGATGGCCTGGCACATCAGTCCCACAGAAGTATAAGGCTCTAGTAGATACCGGAGCACAGCGTACCCTGATGCCATCAAGCTGTCCAAATGGTAGAACCCATTTCTATTGCTGGAGTGACAGGAGGATCCCAAGAGTTGACTGTACTGGAGGCTGAAATCAGCCTGACAGGGAGGAAACAGCTAAAGCACCCCATTGTGACTGGCCCAGAGGATCCATGCATCCTTGGCATAGACTATCTCAGGAGAGGGTACTTCAAAGACCCAAAAGGGTACTGATAGCCTTTTGGCATTGCTGCTTTGGAGACAGAGGAAGTTGAGCAGCTGTCCACCTTGCCTGGTCTCTCAGAGGATCCTTCTGTTGTGGAGTTGCTGAAGGTCAAAGAACAACAAGTGCCAATCGCGACCACAGCAGTGCACCGAAAGTAATATCGCACCAACTGAGAATCCCTGATTCCCATCCATAAGCTAATCCGTAGACTGGAGAGACAAGAAGTGATCAGAAGGACCCGGTCACCCTTGAACAGCCCCGTGTAGCCAGTGCGAAAGTCTAACGGACAGTGGAGATTAACAGTGGGCTATCGTGACCTGAGCGAAGTCACACCACCGTTGAGTGCTGCTGTACCGGACACGCTAGAACTTCAATATGAACTGGAGTCAAAGGCATCCAAGTGGGATGCCACGATTGATATTGCCAATGCATTTTTCTCAATTCCTTTGACAGCAGAGTTCAGGCCACAGTTTGCTTTTACTTGGAGGGGAGTCCAGTAAACTTGGAACCGACTGCCCAGGGCTAGAAACACAGCCCTACCATATCACAGTATCACAGTATGTTAGAGATTGGAAGGGACCTCAAAAGATCATCTAGTCCAATCCCCCTGCCGGAGCAGGAACACCTAGATAAGGTTACACAGGAACGTGTCCAGGCGGGTCTTGAATGTCTCCAAAGAAGGAGATTCCACAACCTCCCTGGGCAGCCTGTTCCAGTGTTCCGTCACCCTCACTGAGAAGAAGTTTCTTCTCAGGTTTAAGTGGAACCTCTTGTGTTCCAGTTTGTACCCATTTCCCCTTGTCCTTTCATTGTTTGCCACTGAGAAGAGCCTGGCTCCATCCTCGTGACACTCCCCCTTTATATATTTATATACACTAATAAGGTCACCCCTCAATCTGCTCTTCTCCAAACTATAGAGACCCAGCTCCCTCAGTCTTTCCTCATAAGGGAGATGCTCCATCTTAGTTGCCCTGCGCTGGACTCTCTCCAGCAGGTCCCTGTCCTTCTTAAACTGAGGGGCCCAGAACTGGACACAGTATTCCAGATGAGGTCTCACCAGGGCAGAGTAGAGGGGAAGGAGGACCTCTCTCGACCTACCAACCACCCCCCTTCTAATACACCCCAGGATGCCATTGGCCTTCTTGGCCACAAGGGCACAGTGTCGGCTCATGGTCACCCTGTCATCCACCAGGACCCCCAGGTCCCTCTCCCCTACACTGCTCTCTAACAGGTCGTTCCCCAATCTATACTGGAACCTGGGGTTGTTCCTGCCCAGATGCAGGACTCTACACTTTCCCTTGTTATATTTCATCAAGTTATTCCCCGCCCAACCCTCCAGCCTGTCCAGGTCTCTCTGGATGGCAGCACAGCCTTCTGGCGTGTCGGCCACTCCTCCCAGCTTAGTGTCATCAGCAAACTTGCTGACAGTACACTCAATACCCTCATCTAGATCGTTGATGAATATATTAAATAATACTGGTCCCAGAACCGACCCTTGAGGCACTCCACTAGTTACAGGCCTCCAACTAGACTCTGCCCCATAGACTACAACTCTCTGGCTTCTCTCCTTCAGCCAGTTCACAGTCCACCTCACTACCCGATCATCCAGACCACACTTCCTCAATTTAGCCGCAAGGATGCTGTGGGAGACCGTGTCAAAAGCTTTGCTGAAGTCAAGGTAGACCACATCCACCACTCTACCATGGACCGATCCAGACTGCACTGAAACAAGGGCAAACTGCAGAACACCATCAATACATTGATGACATAATCGTGTGGCGTGATACAGAGGAATAAGTCTTTGAGAAAGGGAGGAAAATAACCCAAATCCTGCTGAAAGCCGGTTTTGCCATAAAATGGAGTAAGGTCAAGGGACCTGCACAGGAGATTAATTTTTTGGGAATAAAATGGCAAGATGGACCAGATCCCCACACAGATGTGATCAACAAGATAACAGCAAAGTCTCCAACAACTAATAAGAAAGAAACACAAGCTTTCTTAGGTGTTGTGAGGTTCTAAGAATGCACATCCCAAATTACAGTCTGATTGTAAGCCCACTCTATCACATGACCCAGAAGAAGAATGATTCCAAATAGGGCCCTGAGCAACAACAAGCCTTTGAACAAATTAAACGAGAGATAGTTCATGCAGTAGCCCTTGGACCAGTCCGGACCAGGCCAGATGTAAAAAATGTACTGTACACTGCAGCTGGGGACAATGGTCCTCCCTGGAGCCTCTGGCAGAAAGCTGCAGGGGAGACCCGAGGTAGACCCCTCGGCTTTTGGAGTCTGGGACACAAAGGATCTGAGGCCAGCTATACCCCAACTGAGAAAGAGATACTGGCAGCCTATGAAGGGGTTCGAGCTGCTTCGGAAGTGATTGGCACTGAAGCACAGGTCCTCCTGGCACCCTGTTTGCCTGTGCTGGGCTGGATGTTCAAAGGCAGGGTCTCCTCTACACATCATGCAACTGATGCTACATGGAGTAAATGGGCTGCACTAATTACACAAACATCGGAGATGGAAGGCAGCTGTATGGAATCCTCTACGACAAGTTGCAGAAACTGCTGAAGGACAGGGTGAATCGAGTCAGTTTGCTGAGGTGAAAGCCATCCAGCTGGCCCTGGACATTGCTGAATGAGAAAAGTGGCCAGTACTTTATACTGACTCATGGATGGTGGCAAATGCCCTGTGGGGGTGGTTGCAGCAGTGGAAGAAGAGCAACTGGCAACGCAGAGGTAAACCTATCTGGGCTGCTGCACTGTGGAAAGATATTGCTGCCTGGGTGCAGAACCTGGTGGTGAAGGTACGTCATGTAGATGCCCATGTACCCAAGAGTCGGGCCACTGAGGAACACCAGAACAACCAACAAGTGGATAAAGCTGCTAAGATTGAAGTGCCTCAGATGGACTTAGATTGGCAACATCAGGGTGAATTATTTTTGGCACACTGGGACCATGACACTCCAGGCCATCAGGGCAGAGATGCAACATACAGATGGGCTCGGGATCGAGGGGTGGGCTTAACAGTGAACACTATTGCCCAGGTTATTCATGAGTGTGAAACATGTGCTGCAGTTAAGCAAGCCAAGCAGTTAAAGCCTCTTTGTATGGAGGATGATGACTGAAGTATAAATATGGGGAGGCCTGGCAGATTGATTATATCACACTGCCACCAACCCGCCAAGGCAAGCGCCGTGTGCTTACCATGGTGGAAGCAACCACCAGATGGCTGGAAATGTACGCTGTTCTCCACGCCAGTGCCCGAAACACTATCCTGGGCATTGAGAAACAAATCTTGTGACACGGCACCCCAGAGACCTTTATAGGGATTGGTCCATGCACTAAGGAATTCTCTCTCTCTCTCTCTGTGTGTATGTATATATATGTATATATATGAGGTAAGAGTGATGGTATATTGAAAATGTGGGATCTGAGCATGACGTGAATGATATGGAATAAGGGGTGGATACTGTCCTGGGTTCAGCAGTAGCGGGCATTTTCTCCTTCTTAGTAGCTGGTGCAGTGCTGTGTTTTTGACTTTCAACCTGGGTACAGTGCTGATAACACTGATATTTTTAGTTGCTGCTTTAGTAATGTTTACTCTGACCAAGGTCTTTCTCAGTCTCATTCTCTGCCAGGGAGGAGGGGAAGCCAGGATGAAGCAGAGAAAGGACACCTGACTCAAACTAGCCAAAGAGCTATTCCATACCACAGCATTTTATGCCCTCTATATAAACTGGGGGAGTTACCAGGAAGGGTTAGATCACTGCTTTTTTTTTTTTTTTTTTTTTTTTTTTGTGCTGTACCTTAGCTCCTGGACTGTTCTTATCTCCACTCATGGGAGTTACATTCTTTCGATTCGCCTCCCCAACCCTCTGGGAGCTGAGGGGAGGAAGGGGGGGAGGGGGGAGTGAGCCAGCGTCTGTGTGGCTGACTGGGCTTAAACCACAACAATACCACAGCACATCCACATACCACAGTGAGGGGGATGTAGGGAGAGAGTGAGCGAGCACCTGCATGATTCTGAGTTACCTGCTGGTCTTAAACCACGACTGGAGTAGAGGTAGCGAATCACCTCTCTTGACCTTCCAGTCACACTTCTGATGCTGCCCCGCATACGGTTGGCTTTCTGCACTGCAAGGGCACACTGCCAGCTCATAATCACTTCAGCATCCCCGAGTACCCACACAGCTCAATCCACTCATCTCTCAGGCTGTATTTGTGCTTGGGATTGCCCCAACCCTGGTGCATAACCTTGCACTTGGCCTTGTTGAACTTCATGAGGTTGGCATTGGGCCACCTCTCAAGCCTGTCAAGGTCCCTCTGGATGGCATCCCTTCCCTCCAGCGTGTCGACTGTACTGCACAGCTTGGTGTCATCAACAAACTTTCTGAGGGTGCACTCAATCCCACTGTTTATGTCACTGAGAAAGATGTTGGACAGTGCTGGTGCCAATACTGACCCCTGAGGAACACCACTGGTCACTGGTCTCCACAAGGACATCAAGCCATTGACTGCAACTCTTGAGTGTGACCATATTCTGGTTTTGGCTGGGATAGTTAATTTTCTTCTCAGTAGCTGGTACAGTGCTGTGTTTTTTTGTTTTAGTCTGAGAATAACACTGATAACACACTGATGTTTTAGTTGTTACTAAGTAGTGCTTACTCTAAATGAAGGACTTTTCATTTTCTTATGTCCTGACAATGAGGAGATGCACTAGAACCTTGGATGGAGTGTAGCCAGGACAGCTGACCTTAACTAGCCAAAGGGGTATTCTATACCATAGAATAT